CGCAATTGCAACAAGCACCACCACCCCCCAGACGCGACATTAGTCTCGGCCCGCTGCGAAAATGTGCCTCGGCGGACTTACTGCGCCTGCGCAGAGCGCCGCGCCTCGCAGGTGCTGCGCGTGCGCACTCGGTGTCCCCGCCATGCGGCGGCGATGAGGGGGTGTGAAGGGGGGAGTCGGGCCGGGGTCTGAGAGGGTCACGGGGAGCTGGGAGCGCGGCTTGTCCGGGCCACAGGGCTGCTCTAAGGGGCAGGTCTTGGCGGGGTGTGCGTGAGAGCTCAGCCTGTCCTTGCTGCCGTCGTAGCCCTGAGGGACAGGCCGTGGTAGTGCCCGTGTGGAAGCTCCCGGATCAGATCCAGGTCCCGGTCCCAGGGAAGCGGAACCCGTGGGAAGCCCCGGGCGGGCTGTACCACTGCCGCCATGCGGGGGGGAGGGGGAGCTGCTGGCGTGGAAAGCTCCGCGTGCACGTGCGGCCGCAGGGCCAGTCCAAGTGCGGGCAGCGGCGGGGGGGCGCCGGGCCGTACCAAGGCGGGGCTGGGGACGCTCGGTGCCCGCTCAGGGCAGGGCGAGCCGCCCCCGGGCCGTACCAACACCCGAGATGGGTGGGTGTGTGGGGGTGTGAAGCGGGCTGTACCACGGGCTATAACGGAAGAGGGGGATGTTACAGGAGAGCAGGGATACCTCACACTAGAGCAGGTCGCTGAAGGGTTTTAACACTGTCAGGGCTGGGGCATCCAGAGTCTCGCTGAGCAAGCAGTGCCTCACCACCCTCACAGGTAGCAGTGTCTTGTTAATATCAAACCTAAACTTCCCGTCTATTTGTACCCATTGCTGCTTCTCCCTGTCACTCCAATTTCCGAAGAGAGTGCCCCTGCGGCTTCCCTGGAGGCCCCTTCAGATCCTGCGAGGTCTCCATGCAACCCTTCCTCCTCCACCTCCGCATCCTTCCCCCCCCCCCCAACCGGGCCGCGAATGGTCGCGCCCATCGCGCTGCCCCCGGGGCGGACCGTACCACTACCCGGGCCCGCCGGGGGGGGAAGGGGCGGGCCGTACCACGGGGGCGGCGGGGGGGGGCGCGGCCTGTGCGCTCGGAGCCGTGTGGCGGCGCGCGGGCTCTCGGTGTCTCCGGCCGGACCGGGCCCAGCGCTGCCCCAGCCCCGACCCCGGCCCCGGCACACCCCGCCCGGCCCCCGGCCCGCTCAATGCCCAGGGTGAGGGGGCGACCGGGGAGGGGAGGAGGAAGGAAGTTAAAGGAGGGAAAGAGGGGGGAGCCGCCGCCCCGCGAGCCGGGGGAAAGCGGAGGGGTGGGGGGGCGGTTGCTTGGGAGGTTTTGAGGGGAGTCCCTTCTCTGGGAGGGCCTCCCTTAGGCCGCTGTGGGTGGTTTGGGGGGGTTGTTTTGTGCTCTGGGGTCTGTTTGCGGGAGGGGTTGGGGGGGTCTCGGGGGTCCACGAGGCTCTGGGCTGAGGGGCTGGTTTGGGGGGGCCTTGGGGGTCCACGAGGCCGTGTCGGCGCTGAAGGGCTGTTTTGGGTGGGTTTGGGGAGTCCACGAGGTTCTCTTTGGCTGTTTTGGGGGGGTTCTTGGGGGTCCACGAGGCGGTCTCTGGTTTGGGGGTCTTGGAGGTCCACGATGTCTTGTTTGGGCCGAAGGGCTGTTTTGGGGAGCCCTTCCTGCCCTGGTGGAAATTCCAGGCCTGTGGGGCTTGTTTGGGGGATCTTCGGCCTCGGGGGGCTCCCTGCCTATGAGGAGGAGGTTTAGGGGCTTTTCGTTGTCCGTGGGGGACCCTCCTCTGACTCGGGGCTGGTTTGGGGGTCCCCCCTGGCTGTGGGGACTCCCCAAGTCTGGCTTGGGACTGCAGCCCTTAACCTGCGGGATTGGGGTGTCCCTTCTACCTGCAGGGCTGGTTTGGGGGGTCCCGACTCACCTGTGGGGTTTGTGTGGGTCCCCTCTCAGCTGGGACGAGAGAACCCCAAGGGGATGGTTTAGGGGAGGGAGGACAAGTCCCCCTCATACGTGTTTTTTGGGGGGTGTTCCGGATGGGAGGGCATTTCCTGTGGGATTGGAACAGTGGGAGGACAAGGAGACTGCAGAGGGGTCGGTGTGGGTGAAGGTGGGGGGGTTGGAGGGGTGTGTTTGAGGGAAGGGGGTGTTTTGTGTGGATGGGGGAAGACTTTGAGAAAAGCTGGTGGGTTGTTGGTTTTTTTTTTGAGGGGGGGGAGGAAGAGGATCTCGCCTTGTGTAAAACCTGGGTATGGTCTGTAAAAGGAGGAGGTTTTTCTCCTGTGGTGAGAAAACGGAGGGGGAAGAGCTGGGAGAAATTAGTGGGGGGGATATTTCTCAGGCTGGGGGGGGGCCATGTGGGGCGGGAAAGGAAGGGTGTCCAGGATGTGGTGGTTTTCCTGGGGTTTGAGTGGGGGCAGGGCTGCGAACGCCCGGGCCGGTTTGTCAGGATAAAGGGCTGCCCTGTGGGATTTGGGGCTGGAAAAGAGGGGGAGCCGATGAATTCTGGCACAGGCAACGCCTGGAGAAAGTCCTGGTGTGGCCGAGGGTGCTCTGAGAGTGACCTGCAGGAAGGGCTGAGTCAGGGAGGGGTGGATTTATTGGGAATGTCAGCTCGGGGCGTGCTGTGGTGGGCGAGGAGCCCTGACACCGAGAGCTGAGGTTTGGGCTTTGGAGCACAGGTGAGGCCGTGGGCTGGGAGGGGTTTGGGGCAGGGATGGGGGTGGAAGTGGCCTCGCTCCTGGTGGTTCCTGGGTGTGATTAGTCACGACCTGTGTTCTCTCTCGGGGCAGCCTGAGCTCGCTGGTTTCGGGGCGAGGAGGAGGAGGAGGAAGGCACAAAGTTGGCTTTTAAAGGCTCCTGTATAAATGGAAACTCGCCTCGAAACTCCCCGAACGAACCAGGCAGGGTCTGACTCAGAACTGCAGTTAGTACTTAAAGGAGAGAAAAAAAGAGAAACCCACCACTAGCAGCAGCCAGAAAACTCTATCTCCTTATGACTCAACGTGTAGAAATACTTGGATTTAATCAACTCAGCTGCTGGAGAGGAAAGATCAGTCGGAGTTAAGGTAGGAGTGAGGATGCACAGCCAGGAATGGGGGTCTCACACAGGGTCTAGTTGTGATGTTTTTATGTACATCTCTCATAAACTTCAGGGATTCACTTCAGGTTTAATTCCCTGCAGGTACCCACCCCTCTCTTCCACACACAACGTTTTCCTGTCTCGGGGCAGAGCTGAGCTGTGCTCGCAGGGCTTCCCTGGCTCCTGCCTGGACTTTGCCCCCCTGGAATGCCGTGTCAGTCACCTGTGGTGAGGCCTGGGAGGGAGAGCCGGGTGATTCATGGCTCCTGGAAAGGAGGATGATCCACACCTGGAAAGGGAGGCCTTGAGATGGTGTAGGGCCAGCAAGGGGCTTTTTACAAAAGCACGGAGTGACTGGACACAG